GTGGTTAAACCAGAAAAGGGGCGTGGTTTGGGGCTGAAATGGGCGTGGCTAAACTTCAATGGGGGCGTGGTTTTGGGCTGAAAGTGGGCGTGGCTAAACTGCAATAGGGGCGTGGTTAACACCCACAGAAGGGGCGTGGTTCGGGCCTGAAATGGGCGTGGCTTGACCATAAAAGGAGCAGGAGTTCAGACACAAAGTGGGCGTGGCTAAACGGGAATATGGGCGTGGCTTGGGGCTGAAAGTGGGCATGGTTAAACCCACAAAAGGGGCGTGGTTCGGACCTGAAATGGGCGTGGCTTGACCATAAAAGGAGCAGGAGTTCAGACACAAAGTGGGCGTGGTTAAACCCACAGAAGGGGCGTGGTTTGGGGCTGAAAGTAGGCGTGGCTAAACCGCAATAGGGGCGTGGTTTGTGGCTGAAAGTAGGCGTGGCTAAACGGGAATAGGGGCGTGGTTTGGGGCTGAAAGTGGGCGTGGCTTGACCATAAAAGGAGCAGGAGTTCAGACACAAAGTGGGCGTGGCTAAACGGGAATAGGGGCGTGGATTGTGGCTGAAAGTGGGCGTGGCTAATCTGCAATGGAGGCGTGGTTTTGGGCTGAAAGTGGGCGTGGCTAAACTGCAATAGGGGCGTGGTTCGGGCCTGAAGTGGGCGTGGTTTGACCATAAAAGGAGCAGGATTTCAGACACAAAATGGGCGTGGCTGAACTGCAATGGGGGCGTGGTCTGAGGCTGAAAGTGGGCGTGGTTACACCCACAAAAGGGGCGTGCCTTGGGGCTGAAAGCAGGCGTGGCTAAAGTGCAATAGGGGCGTGGTCTGAGGCTGAAAGTGGGCGTGGTTACACCCACAAAAGGGGCGTGCCTTGGGGCTGAAGGGGGCGTGGCTAAACTGCAATAGGGGCGTGGCTTGAGGCTGAAAGTGGGCGTGGCTTGGGGCTGAAAGTGGCCGTGGCTAAACTGCAATGGAGGCGTGGTTTTGGGCTGAAAGTGGGCGTGGCTGAACTGCAATAGGGGTGTGGCTTGGGGCTGAAAGTGGGCGTGGCTTGACCATAAAAGGATCAGGAGTTCAGACACAAAGCGGGCGTGGCTAAACTACAATGGGGGCGTGGTTTGTTTTTGAAAGTGGGCGTGGCTTGACCATAAAAGGAGCTGGGCTCCACCCCCAAAGCGGGCGTGGCTCGGGGAGGAAGGGGCGTGGCCGAGCGGCCGAGGGGGCGTGGCCTGACCTTGATGGGGCGGGGCAGGCGCGGCTCCCGCCAGCGCAGCAGCAGCAGCCCGGCCACGGTGACGCCGTACCACAGGTAATTAACGAAGCCCACGTAATTAATCAGCGTGTAGATGTCGCCCGTCACCAGCATCAGCAGCGTGGAGACGCACTGGGGGGGGGCGGGGGTCCGGGCAGGCCCCGCCCCCCCGGCATTTCCAGAATTTATCCCCAAATTTATCCCCAAATTTATCACCAAGTTTACACAATTTATCCCCAAATTTATCGAATTTATCTCCGAATTTATAGAATTTAGCCCCAAATTTATCCCCAAATTCATCCCCAAATTTACAGAATTTATCCCCAAATTTCCAGAATTTAGCCCCAAATTTAGCCCCAAATTTATAGAATTTATCCCCAAATTTATCCCCAAATTTATCCCCAAATTTATAGAATTTAGCCCCAGATTTGTCCCCAAATTTCCAGAATTTATCCCCAAATTTATCCCCAAATTTATCACCAAGTTTACACAATTTATCCCCAAATTTATCGAATTTATCTCCGAATTTATAGAATTTAGCCCCAAATTTATCCCCAAATTCATCCCAAAATTTACAGAATTTATCCCCAAATTTCCAGAATTTAGCCCCAAATTTATAGAATTTAGCCCCAAATTTAGCCCCAAATTTATAGAATTTATCCTCAAATTTTGCAGAATTTATCCCCGAATTTATCCCCAAATTTCCAGAATTTATCCCCAAATTTCCAGAATTTAGCCCCAAATTTATCCCCAAATTTACAGAATTTATACCCAAATTTATCCCCAAATTTAGCCCCAAATTTATAGAATTTAGCCCCAAATTTAGCCCCAAATTTATAGAATTTAGCCCCAAATTTATCCCCAAATTTATAGAATTTAGCTCCAAATTTAGCCCCAAATTTATAGAATTTAGCCCCAGATTTATCCCCAAATTTATAGAATTTATCTCCTAATTCATAGAATTTATCCCCAAATTTTACAGAATTTATCCTCAAATTTATCCCCAAATTTCCAGAATTTAGCCCCAAATTTAGCCCCAAGTTTATAGAATTTAGCCCCAAATTTAGCCCCAAATTCATAGAATTTAGCCCCAAATTTATAGAATTTATCCCCAAATTTATCCCCGAATTCATAGAATTTATCCCCGAATTTATAGAATTTATCCCCAAATTTATAGAATTTATCCCCGAATTTATAGAATTTATCCCCAAATTTATAGAATTTATCCCCAAATTTATCCCCGAATTTATCCCCAAATTTGCAGAATTTATCCCCAAATTTAGCCCCAAATTTGATGTTTTGGAGCCAAATTTCCAAAATTGATCCCCAAATTTGCAGAATTTATTCCCGTATTTTCCCCAGATTTTCCTGATTTTATCCTGTTTGGAGTTTTGGACCCAAATTTCCAAATTTATCCCATTTTCCCCCAAATTTTCCCCATTTTTAACCCAATTTTTACCCCAATTTCCCCCCTTTTTTTCCCAATTTTTTTTGTTATTTTTAACCCATTTCCCATCCATTTTTAACCCTTTTTCACCCAATTTTCACCCATTTTTAACCCATTTTTTCACCCATTTTTCACCCTTTTTTCCACCCACGTTTAACCCTTTCCTGACCCGTTTTTAACCCTTCAAACCCCATTTTTAACCTGCTTTCACCCAATTTTTAACCCATTTTTACCCAAATTTTCCCCATTTTTACCCCAATTTTTACCCCAATTTCCACCCTTTTTCCCAGTTTTTTTTTTTGTTATTTTTAACCCTTTCTCCACCCATTTTTCACCATTTTCCCCCAAATTTTTCCCCTTTTTTACCCCATTTTTAACCCAATTCCCACCCTTTTTTCCCATTTTTTTGGTTATTTTTAACCCATTTTTCCACAATTTATTCCCCATTTTTACCCCATTTTCCACATTTTTTCCCATTTTCCCCCCCTTTTAAACCCATTTTCCACCTGAATTTTCACCCATTTTTAACCCAATTTCCACCCATTTTTAACCCTTTCTTCACCCGCGTTTAACCCTTTCCTAGCCAGCCTTTAACCCCTTTTTTGCCCCTTTTTGGCCCCATTTTTAACCCAGTTTTTAACCCAATTCTCACCAATTTTCCCCCAAATTTTCCCCCATTTTTCCCCAAATTTCCCCGCATTTTAACCCAATTTTTAACCCAATTCCCACCCTTTTTTCCCAATTTTTTGGTTATTTTTAACTCATTTTTTACCCAATTTTCCCCCAATTTTTCCCCAAGTTTTTCCCCATTTTTACCCCAATTTTTCAGCAATTTTTCACCAATTTTTCCCCATTTCTCCCCCAAACTTTAACATTTTTTCACCCAATTTCCACTCATTTTTCCCCAAATTTCCACCCATTTTTAACCCTTTCTCGGCCAGTTTTTAACCCTTTCTTCACCCGCGTTTAACCCTTTCCTAGCCAGCCTTTAACCCCTTTTTTCCCCGTTTTTAACCCCTTTTTTGCCCGTTTTTCGCCCATTTTTCCCCCGTTTTTGGCCCGTTTTTCCCCGTTTTTTTTCTGTTTTTGCCCAAATCCGCCCGTTTTGTCCCCGTTTTGGGGCCTCACGGTGACGAGCAGGGCGGGCACGGGCGTGTGCCGCCGCAGGTGGATCATGGCCGCCTTTAACCCTTTCCTGACCCCTTTTTAACCCCTCAAACCCCATTTTAACCTGATTTTAACCCAGTTTTTCATCCAGTTTTTCACCCAGTTTTCCCCAAATTTTCACCAATTTTTCCCCAAATTTTCCCCATTTTTAACCCCATTTTTAACCCAATTCCCACCCTTTTCCCCCAATTTTTTGGTTCTTTTTAACCCATTTCCCCCATTTCCCATCCATTTTTAACCAAAATTTTAACCTTTTCTCCACCCATTTTTAACCCATTTTTCACCCATTTTTCACCCATTTTTCACCCATTTTTCACCAATTTTAAACCCATTTTTCACCCATTTTTCACCAATTTTTTACCATTTTTTCACCCATTTTTTCACCCATTTTTCCCCAAATGTTTCCCCATTTTTACCCCAAATTTTCACCAATTTTTCACCCAATTTTCACCCATTTTTAACCCAATTTCCACCCATTTTTAACCCTTTCTTCACCCGCGGTTAACCCTTTCCTAGCCAGCCTTTAACCCCTTTTTTGCCCGTTTTTAACCCGTTTTTTCCCCGTTTTTGGGCGGATTTTCCCCGTTTTTTTTCTGTTTTTCCCCGTTTTTGCCCAAATCCGCGCGTTTTGTCCCCGTTTTGGGCCTCACGGTGACGAGCAGGGCGGGCACGGGCGTGTGCCGCCGCAGGTGGATCATGGCCGCCTTTAACCCTTTCCTAGCCATCCTTTAACCCCTTTTTTGCCCGTTTTTTGTCCGTTTTTGCTCATTTTTGGCCCGATTTTGCCCGTTTTTTTTCTGTTTTTCCCCATT